AATTTTGCCTTTTGGGGACAAGCTGTGGACCTTTTCACTTATTCATAGTTGGAAGTCTCCTATTTTCACTTAGCTTTTGGCTTGTGAAATTCTTACTGCTATAACAGATTTTAGAAGCTTTTCAGAAGATTTATACATATGTTTTACTCAACATTTCAGCGGGGGGGCAGGGAGGATTTTCAGTAGGAAGATCAGTTCAGGTATCTAGTCAGCTATACAGACTGTAAAAAGTTTTGTCAACTTTTTACAACCATTAAATGAAATTTTTTAAGCAAAGAATGCAGCAAGATGTCTGTAAAAGGAGTCAATAAACAGTGGTTATAACAACATTTGAACACTTCTATTTTAGGGATTTTACATACATTATTTTATTTAATTTTAACTCTAAGGAGTAAGCATTCTGATTAATATTAGTCAAAAAAGGTATACTAGACCAAGAACATACAAGTAGGAAATGGTGGAGCCAAGATCTCAATCCAACTCTACTCAACTCCAAAGCTGGTACTTCGCCCACTTTACCATACTTCTTCCATTGTGAATATTTCAGTGGCTCCTCTTTTAAGGGTAGCCTGTAGACTATCTAGGAGGTAGTAAGGCATTAAATCCATTACAGATATTAAAGAGAGGGCTTATTATACTAACTGGCAATGACCTCAACCACAGTGAAGCACTTATAGATTCCCAAAAGCAGACAGGACTTTTACCAAGAAAATAACAAGTACCTGTGTATCATTGAAACTGATAAGGTTTTAGGGTCCTATATGACATTTGCCCAAATTCCAATTGCTCAAATTATATATACAATGAACAAGTAAATCTGTTTAATTTGAATGTAAGTTTTCCATCCTCTGCTCTCAAACATGTCAGCCCCTTTGGCAAACACAGCTGCTAGTTTCCATAGCTAGTTCAACTCAGATAAAACTACCAAAAAAAAAAAAATAAAAAAAAAAAAAAGACTAAAACAACTGAACTTCGTTCCACTTCAAAGCCTATAAATTTATTTTGGAATTAAATAGAAAATGTTGGGGAAGTTCACTCTTTTGAATTGAATATTACAAAATGGTAAAATTTATTTGAATGATTATGAATCTGGTCCTCAGTTCTCAATATCCAGAAACTATATTCTAAGCTACTGCAAAAGCTTTTCTACTTGGTCTCTCCACTTCCAGTTCCCTCTAACCTTTTTCTTCTTGATCATTTATCAAAGTGCCAACTTTCGCACTAACAAATAAACTCTTCTTGGCCAATCATTAGAATTATAGTCATTAGAATTCTTTTCACCTTTAATCTGTTCTTTATATCCTTACCTCACCAATTTTCCTAACACATTCTTTAATCATATTGCTGTTGTGTAGTTTCTCATTGTTTACTATTATCCTCTTAATTCTTCATCCATAAACCTTTTTAACCTGATTCCCAGTTTACCTATACAACTCTCTGTCTCTTACAACTATCTGTCCCTGGTGGGCTCATTTACTCACTCTCTTTTCATCTTTTATTCTCACCTCCAAACCTCTGCTTATTCCATTCTCCCTATTTGTTCTTCCCTACCCTTCACCACTACATTATTTCTTGGAGCATTCTTTTCTCTATTTCACATACCCAAAATTTGCAGGTCCTTCCTTTAAAATCTACCTCTTTTCACTCATTCAGTGGACATCTGTTCATATCATGAAGTTTAAGTTCCTAAGGGTGTCTTTCCTCAAATAATTTACCAAAAAAAGACACTATTATTTTTATTTCACATCTAACCTAGTTGTGGTCCACATTAGGGGGAAATCTCATTTTAATTCAATTGATACATCTCTTTTATCCCACTTTTGACTACCTCTAACTTTAATACAATTAGTAGATGAGCCTTCATCCCCTTGAGTTACACAGCTATCCTAGGCAATAATTCCTGGTTTAGATATTGTCTCTTCTAGGCCTATGACAGAGCATATAGTTATAACAAAGTAACATATATCTAGAGGAGTAAATTATAATTACAAGTGAGTTTCACAACTGAGATACTCATAAATTATGTTGTATAATGTTTTCATTATTAAAATTATAAAACTATTAATATTTGAGCACATTATTTTGCTTCATACTGTGCAGGCAGCCAAGAAATAATAGTTTCCCTTTAGAAAAACAAATAAATGAACAAACAAAAACCAAAACTAAATGCTTGATTTGTTTTCATCCTATATTTCATGTTTTTTCTTTGTCATCTTTTTGCCATGCATTCTCTTCCCCATTCTTTTGCCAGTTAGCCATCTGTGCAGATAGGATGTAATAAAGAGTTGGCATAATTATTTTACCAGTCCAGTCAGCTTCCTTATCTCAGTCTAGTTCTTTCCTATACTTATAAGAGGGAGGGAGGGAGGGAGGGAAGGTGATAGGAGATGATAGGAAAATGGAATGTGCTTAGAAAAGCAAAGGACTTAATAAGAAGAACAAATGAGGAGCGAAGGATAAGAGAAATATATTGATGTTCTAGAATTGTTTTTACCCACTTTAGTGGAAATGAACAAGTCTTTCACCAACTCCTACTGGTTAGTGTAAAAACAAACATATTCAAGCAATAAGAAAAAAAACACGTTCAGATACAAATTATTTGATAACACCTCTACAGAAATTAGGTAGATGAGACAAAATGAAGAGGATTGGCATGATCTGTGGAATTGTCTTACCTATTGTAGTTTTCTCCGCTAATGGCACAGATAATCACAGTAGGTTGCAAAAGCCCACATTTCATTGACTAAAGGTGGCCAAAGGCTTATTCCTATTTCAAAATATTTTATTTGGTCGTACATATAAGGATGTATCACTACCATTCTTGAATTCTAAGGGACTTGAAAATTCCATAAAAATAATTTGCTTTCAAAAAGTCAATGGACTTTCATTTAATCTTATGTAACTGTGCTCTAGAAAGCAAAAAACAAAAGAAAATGTTTGGCTAGTTATGTATTCATTTGAAGTGGAATACAGGAAAAAGAGAGAATATTTCATTTTTACTGAGGCAAACTGCAGAGAAAAAATAAAAGTAGTTATACTCTTTTAGCAATCTGCTTCTTACCCAAAACATAAATCTCACTGTTGACTACGGCTGTACTGAATCGGTACTTAGAGTACTTCATGGGTGCCCGCTCTGTCCATTGATCTCGGTTGGGGTCATACTGCAACAGTTTGTTGCTTAATCGATCAGGTTCTTCATCAGGAAGATCCATCTGTATGAAATATGACAGCCAATATAACAACATACCATTGAAAGATCTTTATGAGTACATGAATGCAATTAATCAAAGCAAATGGCCATAGATATAGAAGTTAACTATAGTGACTCGAACTCATGAACACACAAATCCCATGACTCAAGGTTATAAGTACACTGTCAGTATCAGAAAATTTATATTCCATAATAAAGGGGCTAAAGTATTGGGTTACAGCAAACAATCTGTGATCTTAGTAGTAAGACAGTATAGCACTTTCAAAAATGAAGCAACTGCAAATCCTTAAAAATGAACAGTATTTAAAGTATAATTTTATTTTGCCAAACTTTATAGTGGTGTATTTTAATAATATTTGTGAGAAACTATTTTAAATATGTCATTTTTCTTTATAATATTTTTCTAATCCAAATGGAACAAAATTACAAAAATTTTAGTGTTCTAGTAATTAAAGTTTTTTTTATCTCATAATTATTACCTATATAGAAATGATCTGAATTCAATTTTCAAGATATATGGATTAATATAAATTATTTGCAGTTATTTTATGTATTTATTTAATTTTATTTTATTTATATATACATATTTAATGACTAGAGATGGTATAAATTGAATGACTTTATTCTTACACAGATACGTGTAGTTTCTTGTACTCATAAATTTCAGGTGAAGTAATTTTTTTTCGACAAAGTGTAAGGAACTTTCATGACTTCAGCCTAAGGATGCTTTAAGTGTCTTTTGTTTTTTGTTTTGGTTGCAGGTGTTCAACACAGAAATAATTGCCTTACTAATGAACATCGGGTGCAATTAATTTTAATTATTTTAAATGCATCAAGAGTTATGATCACTATGGTTGCAATCACAACCCCATATTACCTTGCAATTTAACGTATTGTATTAGATACAGATTAGCAAAAGCTTTTGTTATGCAATAAATATGCATGTGCCATCTGTTCAAGGACATAATGAATTAACAAATATTGCCTTTATTGTTTTAATTTTCTTTCTAATGTAAGTATTTAATCTCTATTTTAGTGAAAGAAAAGTAAAGCTTCTAAATTGACTTTGGAGCTTATTCATGCAAAGTTAACTACGTAATGAATAGTTCTGAAAAAGTTTCATTACAAATAATTTATCAGGTATCAGCTACTAGCTGTGATTAAATCTGTACTTCTTTTTGATATGTAGTACAAAATTTTAAATGCATTAAATGCAAAGTTTAAGTTTTTGAAACAAGTATAATACGCTATAAATGGCAAAGTCCAAGGTTATGAGATGAATTCAAAAGCATCACTTTTATCATGAAGCAAATATGGAGGAACAAGAATTCATGGAGGCAAAAATAAATTAACTTTATATCATGTGAGCGAACGAGGACCTAGTAAGATTAATTTCTTTAGAAAGACTGGCTGGCCTGCAAAAGGCAGGCGGAGTGATACTACTGTGAGAGCTCTAAGGCACTGGGAGGGACACCCAAGAGAAAATAAAGAACCACACTGTAGTCACATTCTACTGACTTTTCAATTCTGGCTTGCCATCATTTCTCTGGGCTTCAATACAAACAGTATTCTGGTTTTCCTGTCTGTTAATGCCCAGCAAAGACATAAGTGTTTAAAATCACAATATACTTTTATGGAAATGATTATACCAACATAGGATGACTATTCTGGTTTCCTTCTTAGAGTAAGAATTTTAAATGTGGAAAAGACTTACAGTCACTTGCTTCACGTCACATAGCTATTAACCAGACAGTTCTGGGATGAAAACCAGCTTCTCTGCCTCCTCCTTAGGTGCTGCCTACAGATAACCTCTCAGCATAAGCATCTCTCATAATTAGCTTGACAGGGAGGATTATGAAGACAGCATGAATACCGAATGAAGTCATGTCTATGAATAACATACTTTAAAATTCATTCTCCTAAACTGGTTTAACACTTAAGTATTTTACCAAAATGTAAGTCATACTCTTAGTATTCAACAACTGCAACATTTTTCAACACAGCAGCCAGACTCAGCATAGCCATGCCAATTAGTTATATAAGAAATTTCTTGACCTGAGGAGTCCAGCCTCCAATCACATAAAGCTTATTATTCACTGTCACTACAGCATGACACGCCAATTGCAGTGGGAGAGGAGACACTCTTTTCCAATTGTCTTGTTCTACAGAGTATTTATCAACACAGTTTGTAATAAGATACTGGTTTTTAATTTTCATCTGTCCTCCTATAACATAGAGGTCATTATAGACACTGCCCAGAGCATAGAGCTCTCGAAATTCAGCTGCACATAACTTTTCCCAAAACTGGTTTCCTCTGTCATGATACCTGTAAATTAACAGAGAGAGAACCCAGGATTAGAGTTAATATGACAACAACCTACCCAAGAAACACACTTATTAAGTTTTTTTCCAACTAAAAATAACATGATTTGGTTCTTCTAATTAGAGAGGAAAAAACATCAATATAAGATAGCGATACAGGTTTATAGTTTTTGTTTTTGTTTTCCCAATGACTGTTGAGGAGAATACAATGTGCATAGAAACAACCACACCTACCTGTAGAATTTTAGGAAAAATAATATATTGAAAAATTATAGATTATCCAGGACTAGCCTTCATTTCCTAATTCTGGGAAATAAAATAAAGAACAAATAGGAAAGTCTTCCAGAAAATCATTTGTAATTTTACCGTAAGAGAATAATAAGTAAAAATAAAGAAAGACAAAAAAGTCTCGTTCTGGAGTTTCACCTTAATACTGCATTAAAGAAATCAGTTTTAGAGCAGAGAATTTGAAAATATCTCAATTCAGAGACTTCTAATGGGATGATGTGTAGAATTTTAAGGATTCTTCTTGTAGTACTAACTAACTGGCTTAGCACAGCATCAGGAAAAGCTGTAGGTGTATAAAAACCCATCTGCAAGTGTCTTTGGACATTTAACATTTATTTTAATTTCTTAGATATGGCAATTTCAGTAATTTCTTCCATGAATAATTATATGAGTCTGAGAAGAATCTTGGGAGGCAGGGACACTAGGATTTATGGTCTCTCAATACCTCTGGGAGTATATTAACTGATTATCTCTGTGTGTATGTGTGTGTGTAGCATTATATTGTCACTAAGTGTATGAGTTCGTGGCTATCCTTTGTCTTGTCTCTTGATAGTGGTTAAGTCTATTTTTTCCAGTCATGATTTCAGACATATGGTCTAAGGACAAAAGTAATTATGGGGACAGTGGGATAAAATATGTGATATTAGACGTGTCCTAAAAACATCCAGAAAATATACCTGGAATTCAAAACTAAAAACAAAACAACAACAACAACAACAAAAACAGGAAAATATGGGGAAAAAGTTGTTATGTTTGGAAACGAAGAAATTATATGTGTGTGTTCTATGCAGAGTACAATTTTAAAGTATAGACTACTATTTTTGCATTAAACACTTACTCTTTGATCACATTTATAGGAGTTTTTCCCAGTTGTTCTAGGTCAACTCTTACATTCTTCTCCAGAAGATAACTCTTTACTTTAAGCTTGACAGGAAAGTTAGAAGATTATGCTACTTTCCTAGAGGGCATGCCTAGCTTGTCACAAACTGAATGCAAAAATTTATTAAACCTCATGATAGCTGTCTTCTACGTAATTCTAGATAGGAAACCAGAGTCTCTGGAATCACAGGTGATATTTTCACTACTATTTTTAATTGTACTGGATTTTAGAAGAGAAAGGAGGATTAGGTGTCCCTAGGTGTGGGCTATTGAAGTAAAACCAATTAATGAATATACACATAGGACTAAAAAATGGGTTTTAGTTTTCTGAGATGTGCTTTAAGAAAACAGGCCAAGAATGAAATATATCCCATGAAGGTTGGGATATACATGTTTGCTGGGCAATTTGATAATCTGACTTTTGTTTTAACATTTGAACTGAAAATGAGGAGAGAACGTGCCCAGATAAAACTATAAAATTTATTGTTAAGATAAATGGGCATGACATAAAAAAGAAAATAATAGTTTTCTTTTCAAAAACATAGCTTTGAAATAAGGACTAAATAAAGACAAAAACATTCAATGTTCTCAGAGGTTGATAGTTTAAAAAGAACACTTATATCTTCAGCTGTTTGTATATCAAAGTATGGGAGGTAAGTAAAGGAGATAGAAATGTGTATCTTTGGGAAAAGAAATGACCAACTAGAGTACTAGTTTACTTCCCCTTAAGTCAAAAAGAAATATATCTGCATAAAAATCTATTAACTAGAGTAAGGGCAAGTTGAAGAGCATCTGGGCAAAAATAAAAGGGATAAGATACAAATGCTATGGGAGGAATATACTGCAAGATGATGATTTCTCACACATATCACAAAACTGCCACTAAAGTGACCTTTAGTAGTGCTATAAGATTTTAACTATTCGGACATCTGCTGGAAGTCTCATTTAAGCCCAAAACAATGCTTCTGATAATTTCATTATTTGCTTTGTTGACAATTTCATTATTAGAAGAAACAAGGAGGGCAACTGATACTTTTACCCTAATTCTAACCACAGGAGCTGGTTGGTGATGAGAACCTGGTTGAGTTCAAAAATACTTTTTCCTGACACTTTCTTCTCCTTTTGAGATTCCCATTATATCTATCTTGGTAGGCTTGATGTTACTCCACGTCTCTGAGGCTCTGCTAATTTTTCTTCTTTAGATTATATAATTTCTATTGACTTATTCCAAGTCCATTGATTCTTTCTTCTCTCATCTCGAATCTGCTTTTGAGCTCATTTAGTATATTTTTTATTAGGGTTATTATACAGGTTTAGAATTTCCATTTGGTTCTTTTAGATAATTTCTATTTCTTTATTACCATTGTGGAATCACTATCATATTTTCCTTTAATTCTTTAAAAATTCTTTAAAAATGGATTTTGTTCATTCTTAGAACATATATTTGATAGCTACTTTAAAGTTTATGCCTACTAAATCCAACATATGGGCATACTCAGAGACAACTTTATTTAATGTTCTGCCCTCCCCCTCCACCCCAAGTATAGGTTACACTTTCCTGTTTCTTTTCCCTTTTCTTTTTCCTGTTTCTTTTTCTTTGTGTTGTAAATTTGTGTTGGTAACTAACTGGACGTTTAAAATGGTATATTGCAGCAACTTGTGATTCTAATTTCCACCCCAAGGTTTTTATTTTCTTTTTCTGCTGCCTTTATTGTTGTTGCTATTTGTTTTTAAATAATCTGACTGGATTTAATATGCCTCCCCTGTGGTTGGCTGCTATCTTGCTCCATTTTTTAAAATTCTCATTTTTACTTTTTATCCTAGGGGTTACTCTTATTCTTCATAGCTTAGTGGCTAGTCATGGTGGGTCTGTGTGTGGGTTGGAGAGTACATTCAAAGTTCAGATAGTTTTCAAGTCTACCATGACTTTTACTTTCTTCCTGGCCCTTTCAGTTCTCTCCTGTACATGTGCTCAGCCTTCTAGTAAGCCAGGAACATGTGAAGAGCTTGGACTCTGTTGGGGGTTGTATGTTTGTGTGGCTTCCCTAGTCTCCAAGGTTGTGTGAATAATTTATCAAGCCCTTCTAAGACTCTTATTTCCAACACTTCCCTAGAAGATCCCTGTTAAATTTCTGGCTAATTTCCTTGTCTGCTACTGTCCCAACCAGGACTAAAAGCTCAAGCTAGGAGAGCTGCAGGCTTTTCCATTTGACACTTTGAATGTGGGTTGCCCATCCTCCACTTCCAAACATGTCAGTCCCCTCTGGCAAACAAAGCTGCTAGTTTTCATAGTTAGCTTAACTACCTGGTAGAACTACCATGATGAATCAACTAGGGTAGGGAATAAGGGGAGTCTCAGGCAAGAATGCCACAAACTGCCTGAAGATTTACTTCACATTTAAAAGTTCTGAGAAGTTAAACTCTTCTCAATTTATTGTTTGTCTTGGTTGATTTCTAGAGATCTCAAATGGTTGTTTTTAACAAATTTATCTGGTTTTATAGTTGCCTTTTGGGGACAAGCTGTGGACCTTTTCACTTATTCATAGTTGGAAGTCTCCTATTTTCACTTAGCTTTTGGCTTGTGAAATTCTTACTGCTATAACAGATTTTAGAAGCTTTTCAGAAGATTTATACATATGTTTTACTCAACATTTCAGCGGGGGGGCAGGGAGGATTTTCAGTGGGAAGATCAGTTCAGGTATCTAGTCAGCTATACAGACTGTAAAAAGTTTTGTCAACTTTTTACAACCATTAAATGAAATTTTTTAAGCAAAGAATGCAGCAAGATGTCTGTAAAAGGAGTCAATAAACAGTGGTTATAACAACATTTGAACACTTCTATTTTAGGGATTT